ATTCCATTCCATTCCATTCCATTCCATTCTATTCTATTCTATTCTATTCTATTCCATTCCATTTTTATCTAATTAAAAAAGAGAGTATGAAGTGGGACCAGGTAGCTATAATAACAGAAAACAGAGTTGGAAGGGTCCTTGGAGGTTTTCTAGTCCAATTCCCTACTCAGGCAGGAAACCCTACACCATTTCAGACAAATAACTGTCCAGTTACTTCTTAACATCTCTAGTGATGGAGCGCTAATTGTTCTGTCAGGCAATGTCTCATTAATTCTACGTTCATTCTCTCCCTGATTAGTTTCCTTCCATTGCTTGCCTTCCAGATACTTTGGAGAATAATTTGCCCCTTTCTTCTTTGTGGCAGTCCCTTAGATATTGGCATATTGCTATCATGTCATCTCTAGTATCACTCCTGGAAAGATTGGCTGTCACCAAGGTTGATAATTTGCCTTCTAGCTCCTGGTGTTTAATCATTAGCTGTCACCCATTTTGTGAATACGTCCATCCACAAAAATCCATCCCAGGAATCCATTTTGAGAGGATGCCCATAAAAAGCTCTTTGAATTCCAGATATGGCCACTGACCAGAAATTATTGTCTAAAACTGATTAACGTACTCTGGTTGAATTAAAAAAAAATGGGTTTGGCTGATGGAGGACTTAGTCTTCTACTAAACCCCAAGGGAGCTGAATTGCCAACTCTGTGCTGATAGAAGTCCTTGATGGGAAATGGCTGAATCCTGCCTTAGGCCTTGAGAAGGAGGTGGGTTTAATATGTCTATTGTAATAACCTACATCCTGTTTTTGAACACACGCAGACAGTGCAGATGGAGAGGAATTTGCCCAGACAGGTTGAATGAGATTGGAGCTACTGGTAGAGAAATTGCCATTATTTATTATTAACTCAACATTAAGGTTCTCTATGTGAGGATATATGTATAAGACTGATCTTTATTCTCAGTAGGGTATTTCCAGAGTGCATATTTCCCTCCCTCTCTTGGTTTTGCTTCATGTTTTGCTTTCTTAGGAATAGGGAGGAGAGGGCATAAATGTCTGTTGTTTCACTGTGGAATGGGGAGGGGAAGAGAGCTATAGGTGATGATAGTTAGTACCTTAGGCAAAAAAAGAATAAAGCAGAACCTGCCAAACTGTTTGATGGAAGATGAGCGGAATGTGTACAAATGCTATGCTGATGAGAAGGGATGGATATGTGGATGAACAGAAGGCTTGATATTAATTAGAGATAAAGTTATGCAGTGCCATTTTTTTTATTTTTTTGCACCCCCGCCCCTTAACAGTTTCAATATCAGTTTCATGGAAGAATGGCTACTGATTTCTGTCAAGGAAGAGTGCACAGAGCTTTAAGTCAGAATATTCAGTTTTCCACTGCACAATCATCTCTCTGGGTCTAAAATCTTCCTTGGGTCAATTATTTCCTTAAATAAGGAAAAGAGTCAGGAAAAAAAATCCTTCTGTATCTTGCCTAGCTTGAAGGACTAGCATCAACTTTTAAAACATGTTCAAGTTTCTCTCTGCCCTATCCTCTACTAAGCCAAGTCACGTTGAGTTTCTTTCTTCATCTCTCTCTTCTTTTTCTTCTTTCCCCATTCCCAAGTTCTACATTCCTTCATAAAACCAGTTCTAAAATTGTGGAGACATCTACGTGATGCATTCTCAGGCAGGTCCATCTTTGCTCTACCTAGTTTGCATAGATTGGGTGCTCTCTGAATTAGATATTTTTTTCTGCAGATATTTTGCTACCAAACTAGGCAGCATCGCCAGGGCAAAGGAACCACCAAGATCAGAGAGCATCAAGGGCCCTATGTAGCTCAACTTTAAACTACAAATGTTGTCTTTTTGAGCTGTGGTGGCACAGTGGTTAAAATACAGTATTGCAGGCAAACTCTGCTTACAGCCTGGAGTTCGATCCTGACTGGCTCAGGATCTCAGCCTTCCATCCTTCTGAATCCTCATCAGTCCTCATTGGTAAATGAAAATACACATCTTCTTAGGTGAAGATCAGGCTTTTTGTACTGAGCCGTGGTGGCACAGTGGTTAGAATACAGTATTGCGGGCTAACTCTGCTGACTGCCAGGAGTTCGATCCTGACTGGCTCAAGGTTGACTCATCCTTCCCTCTTTCCAAGCTGGATAAAATGAGAACCCAGATCATTGAGGGCAACATGCTGGCATTGTAAACTGCCCAGGAATGCTGTAAAGCGTATGGGGTGTATATAAGCACTATTGATATTTGCATAGATTGCTTGAGTTTTTCTAAACCGCTAAAGCACCAAAGGCCGAACGTATTAGAAGGAGCTTTTGAAACAAGTTCTTTGCTTTCTAGAAAAAAAGAAGCCTCCCAAGGGCAAGCGTCTCCACGACTGGAAAGGACGGAGGAACGCTATTCATCTCACAAATGAGTACACGGTGGAAACGCTTGTGGTGGCAGATGCTGACATGGTCCAATATCATGGGGTTGATGCGGCTCAACGATTCATCCTCACTGTGATGAACATGGTAGGTAGAACACCCTGTGGATTTGTGTCTCTACTCTGTCCTTCAGAAAATAATAATAATAATTAGTAATCAATGCCAAATCCGGCGAAACAACTGGCCACTGTGATACAATTGTGTAGTAGTAGTAGTAGTAGTAGTAGTAGTAGTAGTAGTAGTAGTAACAACAACAACAATAATAATAATACCACC